ATCTGGGCGTTGCCAAAAAAGGCCTTCGCTGAAAACGTTTAATTTCGCTTTGTTTTTTGAGATAGTTGAATCCTTACTAACACAAGCTTGTTACCACTGGCACTAACTACGTTGGTTGATAATTTTTAATTAAAACCCTGCTTTTATGCAGGTATCAGCGGCTTTCCCGGGGGGTCAACCCCCGGGCCACCCCGGGGATTTGTCAAAACAGCCTTGACAAAAGGACACTAATGCCCGTGGGTTGGGGCAAAATTTTGTCACAAATGCCCCTACCTCCGGGCCGAAATTTGGAAAACAATAATTTCAAATATAACAAATGGTTATTTACAAAGAAATTTGTAGTAAGTTAATATACTTATTAACATAATTTTGGGCATCTCGTTCAATAAACAATGAAGCGTAGGCCGTAAAGAAGATATTTTTGAACTAAAAATTCATACACAAATATGTTTGCTATTTTAACCTATTTAATAAATCAGTATCCGATACAAAACGTTTAAAAAGTTTGTGTCCTTTATAGTTTCAAACAATTATTCTGGTGTTTCCAACTTTTATTGAGGATAGATGGCTAATTATTCATTTATAAATAAAAGGATTAAATTACATTCACCTACCATCGATTGCTACTAAGCGGAACGCGTCATGAGAAAACGCCTGCCTCGTACCCAGGCGGTATGTTGTTCTATTGCTCGTGTGGCCTTTGCGTGGGACACGTGCCGTCCCACGTGTACAAACCAAAGCGCCTGGGTACGAGGCAGAGAAAACGTGATCTATAAATTGGACATAGCTTGCGTAGCAAGCAGTTTGCCTCGCCTCCCTAATTTTCGTTGCCCGCACTTCAACCCCAACCCTTAAAACTGCCGGCTACGCAGCAATCTCGTTCCCAGAGTATGCCTGTTCGCGGGTTAGGTTGTGTCACAACCTAACCCGCGAACAGGCATACTCTGGGAACGAGATTGGCTACGCAGGCTAATTGGACATGAAACATAACATGTTTGGACTTCAAACTTTACATGATTTTGCTGGAAACATTTGACGGTTTACAATTATTTTTTCCGCGAAAACGTAACAAAGTTAGTACAAACATTGCAAACCGCAATACTGAATTTGTCCACTATAAACACAAGATATAAGGCCTGTTTCATACGTCGAATTTAATTCAGACGAATTTAATCACGGATTTAGTGTTTGCAAGCTAATCCCCGCCCAATATGAATGTGTTTCTAAATTTGAAATATTGACAGTTGACTGTGAGTGTCAATATTTCAAATCCAAATTTCAAGTCCAAACAAATCATGTTTGACAGCCAATTGGACACGTTTTCTCATGACATGTTTCTGCTTTATAGTTGCAATCAACGGTATATTGTTCATGTGCTTCAAAATGCTTCGAATTTGCTTCGAACTTCGAAGGTTCGAAGCGTCTTCAAAAATCATAATTAAGAATTTTTTTGATGAATCACCGCTGACCGATATAGCAGCAGTCCATATGCAAATCCCGGGCGTTTGCCCCCGGGGTTAATTTTCAAAATACAAATGTAGGCTAAATCCCGGGTCTCCGGGGCGTGATTTTAAAACAAATTCCATGCCATGCCCGGGGGTTTCCCGTGAGTTGCCCGGGGGTCAACCCCCCAGGAAAGCCGCTGATACCTGCATTAACCTTATAACTAAAATTTTGATCTAGACAAGTCTAGACAAAAATTTCATCACAGCTTGAAAGAGCATCACAAAATTAGTAATATTCCGAAGTTTCGTTGCGAAATGTTGTAAAATGCGGATAATACAGCCTTGAGAAGTTTGCAATTTTCAGTCATTTTAGATTACAAACGAGAAATTGATACCCAACCCATTTGGGTATCAATTTCCCGTTTGTAATCTAAAATGAAAATGACTGAAAATTGCAAACTTCGCAGGGCTATATTATCCGCATTTTACAACATTTCGTAACGAGACGTTGGAATATTACTAATTTTGTGATGCTCTTTCAAGCTGTGATGAAATTTTTGTCTAGATCAAAATTTTAGTTATAAGGTTAAAGGTCCATTGATGAAAGACACATCAAAACAAGCCATCGATTATTCATCGATTTCCAATACCAATCGATTAACAAATATCGGTATTGATTCATATCGATACTCATCGATTATCGATTTCATCGATTATAAAGTACGCCTGGAATGAGGCCGGAATATAAATTTGAAAAGAATATATTTTACACGTGTAAAATGCCAGAATATATTTTACACGTGTTCTCGGGACTGTATATACTATAAAAATTCAAAACGCTTACCTTAATACCGAAGAAACTTTCTTCGAAGCTCGAAATTTGCAATTTTTTGCGGAGAATATTTTTATTCCAACAAAAGAAAGCGTACGATAAACAAATACATTGAGTATTTGAGCCGAATGATCAAACCTTTTTAATGTTTTTATATCGTAAACAGTTCGGAAACATTCGTAGATTGTTCGGAAACATTCGCAGATTCGTAGATTAGGGTAGCCCCAGGTGTCGTCTCCTAACCAATCTCGTTCCCAGAGTATGCCTGTTCGCGGGTTAGGTTGTGGCATGACTCTGGGGAAATCGAATTTTTTTTATCCAAAATGAGATAAATGGCGCATGCGCTTTTATTGCTTTTGTTTATTCCGCTTACTAAATTCGCGCGGGCACTGATTTGTATCATTACTCAAAAATTGCATCATTTCTTGGTTTTGCTATAAAAAAACAACTAAATGGTTACACATGCAGTTTATTCAATATAAATTGACAAAGTTTTTAACATTGGTAACGGTTCGGTTAAAAATAAAAAATAATACTATAATAATAATGTTGTAATTTTTTAATTTTGCGTGGCACAAGCAAGTGCCAGTCGCGACTATGGTACACGCGTAAAAACGCACAAGTTGTAACAAGCCTGCAGCAGACTTGTAGCAATGCTGTTCCAACCAGGGGCGGCGGAACAGATTTCGTTCTGGGGGGGCTAAATTTTTCGGCGACCTCCCCCCCCCACTTTAGGGGTATAATATAACAAAAAAGGGACGAAAAAAATTTTTCCGGACTTATATCAAAATTTTTTTCCCGAAATAGGCTTTTTTCAAACAAAATATTGCAAATTTGTCCCCTTATACCCAAATTTTCAAAAAATAACCTAAATTTTTCCCTAATTATCAAAATTTTTTCAAAAAATTCAAATTTTCTTGGGGGGCTAAGCCCCCCCACTTTTACTTCTGGGGGGGGCTTTAGCCCCCTAGCCCCCCCTGTTCCGCCGCCCCTGGTTCCAACAACTTGTCAACAGGTTGTGTTCGCACATGCTTGTTCCCAGCTTGTTAAAAAGTTGTCAACGGCTTGTTGACAACTTGCTACAAGGATGTTAAGCTGAACAGACAACTTGTTATCGTCCTGCAATTCAGTAATGTTTCAACAAGTTATGAGTGACAACCTTGTATAGCACCTTAATAAAATAACAGCGTTGTAACAACTTGTTAGTAAGCTTGCTATGCAAGCCTGTTAACTTTAATTTTACTTGTGAGATTTGTATACGTGCATGTGTAGTGGGGAGAATGATGTTTTTAAAAAAGAGGCAACATACAGCGCCCCAGTCCAAAAATTTTAACAGGAGGGCTCTTCAAAGAAGGCCTTGATGCATGATCCATCGGAAAATGTTCGATACTTGGGTTTCTCTGAAACACAATTCCAGTAGTTTAAGTGATGGTATAAAATGCATAGCGTTGTTCTATTAAATCAAGAAAATCCAATCACTACATGGCTCATTAGCTGGAATCAAGTACTTTCTCAGTAAATTCAAGGACCTTATAAACAGGAAACTGTTTGAAAATGGCATGGATTTTGCTTATTTTAATCTCTCCTGTTAATTCAAATCAGAAGAAGTTCAAATATTCTTGAACTATCATCTAGAAAGAAATTCGGGGACTATCAAGGACCAAGAGTATAAAGACTTTTAGAAGGCAATAATATTTTTTTGTGTTAACTTTAACAAAATTACACAGAATAAAGCAGTGAAATACATATATTTCTTTGAATAATCATTTGTAATAGCATCACACCATTTTTTCGTTTAACGATGTAATCTTAATTTTTTTATCAGTGGCTTGTTTTTTCCAATGGAAGGTAACTTCTTCTTATTTTCAGTGGTAGGTATCTTGTTAGTTACAACGAAAGGTATCTTCTTGGACGGAGCATCAGAAGGAGCACAGGGCGCTTTCGCTGGTGGTAAACATGAATCAGGCTTGGTCTCGATTGCACTGATCAAATTCTTCACTCTTTTGATGGCCGTACCAAGATCTTTACCTTGAAACAGATTAAAGCTAGGAATGAAAAAACTTGTTAGTTTGCCTGCTTCAAGTGATTTAAGGAAATTTAAGATCAATTCGTTAAAGCGAGGAACGAGTTTGGAGTCGGTCCAATCATCTTTGTTTGGATGGTCGCGGTTCATCTTCATTATCTCGGTTTTCAAGTGATACGAGGCGATGTTTTCAGGCCACTTGCTAGCTATCTTCAAGTACTTCGCGATTTTCAACAACTTCTTTCGGGATCCTCCATCTGCGTCGATGCCTTGGAAAAGCTTTATTTCCGCAGCGGAGAATGAAATTTGCCAAAGTCTGCTGTCTTGAGGTGGTTCGAGTACTTTTGCGACAAGTCCAACACCCACTGCCTTCAATGTGGGGTCTATTTTTGGATCAGCACTCTTTGGCCAATCATTCTGCTTGATGTATAAGACCAAATCGATGTCGATATACTTGAACGACTTTTCGTGGGATGGTATTTGGAAATTAATAGAAGGACCGACGGGCGTAGTCTTTGTTTTAATTCCTACTTTCGCCAAAGCTTTTGTCACGATCTCTAGCATATGAGCTCTCACTTTGGCTGGATCGACTCCATTTTTGGGATCTTTGAGTTTATACCTGTTAAGACATGATGTATATATTTGTGATCAAGCTACTCTGAGTGTGTCCACACCGAGCAAGGTGAAAATTTTGCGCGACCGGTCGAACCTGCTGCCTTCCTTTGCTCGAACCTGCGACCTTTGGTTTGTTAGTCCAGTGCTTGGCAAAGCCTAAGGCCGCTGGTTCTATTGCTATCGATCGCGGCAAAAATTTCAGCTTCCCCGCGGTATAGACGATCATGCAACCTACTTTCAGGAAGTCAGACTTTGATGCAATCTTTTGTTACAAGCTGCCATATGCAGCTGTCATTTTCTTGTAGTTTAAACAGGAGGAACGATATATATATATATATATATATATATATATATATATATATATATATATATATATATATATATATATATATATAT